AAAGGCCCGGGTGCATCCTCCCTGTCCCCCTCCCAGAGGCCCTCAGATTGGCGAGGACGCGGCGGGGACTCTGGCCGGCGTGCAGGGGGGGCAGCCGTGACCCGGGTGCTTCGTGCGCCGGTCAGAGTCGTCCGCTGTCTCTGGGCACTCTGTGGGTCTCTGGGAGAGGGACAGGGAGGATGCACTGGGGCCTTTGCACCTTTGGGGGGCGAGCTTGGGTCGGAAATTGCCATGTTGTGACCGTGCAACATGCACGGTCTACAGTCTACCACATTACTGTGTATATCTGAGACTTCGCAAGCAATTAAAAATAAAAAACTCTCACTTCCGCGCTCGTGAGAGGTGGACGTGAGAGGCTCCATGCAAGGCGGCGTGATCACGCGTGTGAGCTGTGTCCCGTGTGACTGTGAGGCGCTGACGACTACTACGAGATCTACGACGTCGGTGTCCGACGTGCGAGCGACGGGGTGTCGGAACTCGGATGGGTGAGCCGCACCACGCGCGCACGTGGACTGGAGGCGGCACGAGCCGGCAGCCGCCGCCCAGGGCCGCCGCTCCGGCCCCCGCCGCCGGCGCTCTCCGCCCGCGGTGGAAACTCTCGCGGGAAATCGCGGGTGGGAGAGAACGAGGCCAACAAATTGGCGTGTAAGAGAGAGAAGTTGGTGTAGATTGGGAGTGGGAGTCAGCGGAGAGAGAGAGGGAGGGAGGGAGGGAGAGAGAGAGAGAGAGAGAGAGAGAGAGAGAGAGAGAGAGAGAGAGCGAGCGAGCGAGCGAGCGAGAGAGAGAGAGAGAGAGAGGGAGAGAGAGATGGGACCTACTGAGCGCATGTGGCGTCGATGGATGGGGCGCCCCTGCGCTAGAGTTCCTCCTTCGGCTCGCCCTTCTTCTTCTTTTTCCTCTTCTTCTTCTTTTGAGGGCTCGTCTGCGGGAGAGCGAGGGACGGCTCAGGGACGGCTCGGCGGCTACAGGACAGCTGCACGGAGCACTGGCGACGCGATGCATCTCGGGTGGTGGCGCCCGTCCTCCCGGTGGCCGGGCGGCGGTCCGGCCAGGGCGCGGTGAGCGGTGCGCGCCGGCGGCTTGGACGGCGGCTCGTCTTTCTCGTCCTCGTACTTGTCCTTGCACGACTCGGGGCAGGTGGTGGCCATGAAGGCGCGGTTGGAAAGGCACTCGCCCTTGGCGGCCCAGTTGTGGCAGTGAAAGTTCTTGTCGATCGGCGCGTCCGGGTACGCCTTTCGTCGGTGCTCGAACCTGGCGGCAGCAGGGTCAGAGTGTCGGCCGGGCAAGTGGTGGCGGGCACTGGAGGCGCGCGCGCGCCACTCCCAGCACGAGTACTTGCACGAGTCATGCATGTACCCCGGGTTGGACTTGCACTGCCCGTCGGCCGCCCACCTGCGCAACGCAGAGGCGGCGGCTGCTCGGTCGCTGGGCGCAGCTCTCGTGGCAGGGCGGCGGGCGATGCACACTCGTAGCACTGGCTGCCGCCCTTGTCGCCGTCCTCCTTGAATGGGTTCTCCTCCTCTGCCGCCGCAGCGCCGACGGACAGGCCGAGGAGGAGAAGCGCGAGGCTCCGCGTCGCGGCAAACATCGAGCGGGGTGGGGCTCGCTAAAAGGTCGGCGTGAAAGTGCCACCGAACTTCTGCTACACCAGAACGCCGTGTTAGCTCTGAAAAAAGAATTTCGCCGGCGATTTCGGTGCACGAAGAGGCAGACTCCCCAGGGTGGGCGACGGCTAGCGCATCACACTCCTCTCCTTAAAATCCCTGTGTGGTGGCGGCGTGCCGTTCTCCCTCCCTTGGGTTGTCTGTTTTCTTTCTTTCTGGACCCTGTCCTCCTCCCCCATCCCTCGTTTGGGTTTGTCCATTTTCTTTCTTCCCGTTCTTTCTTTTTTCAAAGCACCGTTTCCACCAACAAAAGAAGGAGGAAACAAACCGTGAACCGAACCACACGTGACACGAGGAGCGCAGAGTTGTCACACCCTCAGCGCCGCCGCCCACACACGCGAGCCCTCACACCAGCCTCACCGCGGCCTCGGGTTGGCTGCGCAGGCGGCGGGCCGCCACAGCCGCGCAGGCAACCGCCGCGAGGAGAGCGAGGGTGCGCGAGTCGGCCGGCGGTGCCAGCAGGAGCAGCTCCGACCAGAGCGAGGAGGGCGCGCATCCCAAATCCGGGCTCGTGGCGTGCGACGGGGGGCAGCCGGGGCGGCAGACGTGCACGGCGGCAAAGCACGAGACGCCAAAGCCCGCGGACTCCGCCCCGCACACCTCCCTCCAGCCGGGCGTCTCGTCGCAGGCGAGCAGCCCGGCGCAGCAGCCCTTTGCCGGCGGCGCAGAACCGCGGGCCGGCGCGGCGACCTGCCCCCCCTCGCCGACGCAGCCCGCCGGGGTCCACAGCGCGGCCTTGAGCTGCATCGCCGCGCGCGCCTCCCCCTGCTCCATCACCTCCTCCCACCGAGACCAGTTGAAGGCGGGCAAGTTGCGCGCCCGGCGCGCCGCGGCGACCGCGGCGGCCGCGAGGCGCCGCTCGCCCGCGCGCGCCACAATCTGCTCGGCGTGGCGGTGCGCCGACTCGGGGTAGATCTCCGGGCAAGTCTCGCTGCCGAGCGGCGAGGCGTCGGGGCCGTACCGCCACTCGTTCGAGCGGATGTACTTTGCCGTCGGGTAGTCGGGCGGGTCGCAGCCGACGTTCACCTCCGACTGCCACACGCGCACCCAGTCGACGTGGAACGCGGTCCCGATCGGCCCGCCGTCGGCGGGCGCGTCGATTGCGCCGTAGCCCCCGTTCCACGTCCCGATGGCGGAGTTGACGATGAGCGCCTAACACACGAGGGGCCAGACGGTGTGATGCCCGCCGCTCCAAAGGCGCCGGCGGCGGTGCTCGAGGAGCGCCATCGGCTCGCGAGGGAAGGCGCGCGCGGGCGTGCGCTCGCGCCGGCTCGCCGCCTCCCTGCCCGCCTCCCCCCCCGCCTCGCCAGGCCGCTGCGCCGAGGTGTCGACCGCATACGCGCCGAGGGCAGACTCGTCGAGGCTCCAGACGAGCCGCCCGTCGAGCAGCCACCGAAGCGAGCCGCCCTCGCCGCCGCCGCCGCCGAGGAGCTCGACGCGGTAGGTGCGGTAGCGCTCGTCGAAGACGTCGTCGACGACCGAGGCCGAGATCGTGTCGGGGCAGCCCGTCGGGCAAGAGGCGCCCCAAGGCGGCCCGTACCACCCCTTGCCAGCGATGCCGTCGCCGTACTTGAGGCCAGAGTACCAGCTGCCGGGGCCGCGCTGCGCCGGGAGGGAGCCGATGGCGGGCTTGAAGTAGGCCGGCACCGCGGGCGAGATCTGGAGCGAGAAGACGGCGTAAGACGTTGCGGACGGCGACCGGACGGCCACCTCGGCCGCGTCGATCTCGGTCGCGCCTCGCCCCTGGAACGGGTGCAGCCCGTCGACATCGAGGTCGTGGTCGTCGCACGCGCTGATTCGCTGCGGCGGCGAGTCTGGCGCCAGGGCGAGGTCGGCGTCGCACTCGTCGTACGACCACGGCCAGAGGCCCGTGTTGGAGCTCTGGTACACGGCGCGGCCGAGGTTGCCAAACAGCCAGAGCGCCGGCCAGTAGCCGCTTCCGTGCGGCATGCGCGCGCGGAACTCGACGACGCCGCCGGTGAAGCAAAACTTGTTCCACGACTGGAGCATCGCCGAGCGGAACGGCATCGTGATCTGACGCGTGCCGCTCGGGTCCGGGCCGGTCGTGCGCTCGTACACGGTGGCGATGCGCAGCGCCGACACGCCGGGCTCCTCTGGGTCGAGCGCCACGGTCGCCTGCTCCGGCAGGTACACCGTCTTGCCCTCGTTGGCGGTGTCGGCGACGTGGAGCGCTGTCCACTTGGGATCCTCGCCGTTTGCAAACGAGCGGCTCGGATCGTTGAACTCGTCCGAGAAGACGAGCCGGTGGAGCGCCAGCCCCGGCCCCGCCGCCGTCGTCCACGCGGACGGCGGCGTGGCGAGGTCGCACCAGCAGCAGGAGGCGAGCGCGGTGGCGTTCATGGTTTGTCGGCGCGCAGGCAGCAACGTGCAGGAGGGCTACCCCAGGTACCAATGTTTCGGCAAAGGAGGCGCCCCGGGCCTGCTTTGTTTTTTCTTCTTTCACATCTGTAAGGTGCCTATATGGGCTTCCAGTATCGGACCTTCAAGATATGCGCTTTTGGCCGGTGGCCTCTTCGGACATGGTACCTCCGGTGAGATAGTGGCTGCCAGTTCGAGACTGGGGCCGATCGAACTTGAGTTGTTCGGAGGAGGAATCCGGCCAGCACGGGTACAAAGAGGGGTACCCGGAGAATCCCCAGCTGCGGAAACGTAGTGTCGCTCAAGAGGTGCGATACTGCGGGGGAGTGTAAGGTGCCTATATGGGCTTCCAGTATCGGACCTTCAAGATATGCGCTTTTGGCCGGTGGCCTCTTCGGACAACATCGCCCCTTTAGCACCCTGTCCCACACCGTTGAGCGGCTCGGGCTCCCCCTCCCCTCCCCGCTGCCCGGCGCGGCGTGAGAGGCAGCACTCTTAGCGAGAGCACCCGTGGAGCACATGTTCTCTGTGCGAGAACCGAGCCGCGACCTATCTCATTTTGAGATTTGAGTCGGCGGCGGCGGGGGAGGCTGCCGGTCCCCGCCGGATTCCTTCCTGGGCGGTGCCGGAATTTGGGCCTGAGGGGTCGATCTGGGTGACTTTTTATTACTTGTAGCTCCTGACCCATCCCTTTACACTTGTCTACTCTTTTCTTCTTGATATCTTTTATTCTTCTTGTACTTTTTTCACTATTTTTCAGCCTTTCTCTATCCTTCGTCCCGCTTGTGTTTATCCTATTTTCTCCTCTTTTTTCTTCTTTTCTTCTTTTCCATTCTCTGTGCTATACTCCTCTTCCTTCCTTCTTGTCTCTCTCTCCACTATTTCTTTTTCTTTTCTCCTTTCTCCTC